AATAGTGCCTGATACTTACAACAGGAACCTTGAATTGAGGGGCTCCTCCTCAAACAGACTCTTTTGTTCCAAATTGCATTTAAAACACTGATGCTGTGCAGTGTTTTAATAAATGCAATTACTCTGCTATTCCCAACACAGATATTACACGGGAAACAAAAGAAATGCCAAGCTGAAGCCAGCTCATGATCCTGTGCCACACCCTCATGCTGCACAGCTGATACCTCTGCCGCATCAGAAAGTTTCAGCACGTTGCCTGAACTTGTGCACTGTGCTTATGGTGACAGAAAAAAATAGCATACATAAAACCTGATAGGACTGCAGCCTATCCCTGTTGCCATTACTGTTGCTTCAAGAGCTCTGAACAGCTTTCTATTCCAGCTTTTGATTATTCCCCACAAATTGAATGCAGCAGAGTATATGAATGGCTGGTTTCAAACAAATAATCTGAACAAGCAGTTTGACAAGTATGTCATGCTTAGCCTACTTAAAGTTCTGAAACAACTACTAACATTCCAGGTATTTTCATGTATATAAATTTTAAGACCCAAACTACAAATGCTTTATCTTTGCCAATTCAGGCACGAGCTGCTTGTTTCTGCATGTGTGTGTCTATATCTGTGGAGGAAAGCAGTGCTTTTGGCACTACCAGGCATTTTGTATATGCATTTTTTTAGGCACAGTTTAAGAGGCTGGTTCTCAAACCAGGCACTGACATTGTGTCCTGCATCTCCCCTTGGGTTCATCAGGAGTAATGTGCACTGAGGATTTCTGAGGGTGCTACAAATATTAAATGGAATATTGAACAAAGAGGAAACCAGGCCAGTAAAGAAAGCTCCCTGGGACGATCAGGCATTGGTACTAAAACCCTGGCATACTGCATGTAGTGTCTTAACATGTTCACAGGTAAAACATGAACTTCGGTTGAAGCTCATACATTTCTTCTAGCCCAGTTTTCAGAAACAAGGAAAATCTTCTGGCTTTTCAATGCAACCCTAAAATTTCCAGGAAAAGATTGTGCTTTTCTGTTGACACATTCAAAACACGATGAACAACATCCTTGAAGATTTATTACCAATCTAACAATTAAGACCTTGTGAGCATCTGATATTAAAAATCTTTGCCAAAATCTGCAGGCAGCACTTCTGTTCACAAGAGCCCATGGGACAGTGTTGCAAATCAAAATCTTGGTACTCTTCAGTGCATAGTTAAATCCTGGTCTTAAAACTTTTGTGAAAGCTGGTGCTTTGTGCTTTGCCACAGCCATACCACAAACATTCTGTCTTTGCAGGCACACCATGTGCACACTGTGACTTCAGACAGCAGGAAGGGGCATTCAGGGAAGATAAAGCAATACTCCAGGAGAAACAAAGAAGAGAGAAAGCAGAGTTTTCTAGCCAAATACTAGAGGCTTGCACCCGGGGCTCACCTGTCACAGTTACCCATCTCTGTAGGTCAGGTTTTATGCTACTACCTGTCTTTTTTATGCTTGCCCTGTAAAATCAGTGTCAGTCACAAGGGACTCATGAAGTCTTTGACTCTTCCTTTTTAAAGGTCAGGGCTCCACTTTTTAATTGGAAAAGCAGAAGGTGAATGAGTCTGACTGTGAACGCTGCTGCCCTTATTACGTGCCTTAGGAGGTTCAAACTCTGGCTAAATATATTAGGGCTTCTTGGGGGTGCCCAGAGGGGAAGGAAAGGGGGGGTGGCATTACAAACCTATGCAGTTTGTTGGAAAATAGGAGGTAGTGGATGAGCCTAAGGGGGGGAAAAAAAAAAAAAAAAAAAAAAAAAAAAAAAAAAAAAAAAGAACCCTAGGAAGGCTTGGAGCTGGAGATCTGGACAGTTTTAGGTTTGTTCAGTTTTAATTCTTCAAGGAGCTACAGGCAGAGGGGAAAGAATACAGACTGAACATGGTTTGATTTTGGAAAACTTCACTATTTTCTCTTTTTCTTGTCTAAGAGCAATAAAAACATCACTGGCAGTATGAAACAGCTTCACTTCTGTTAGAAATTGTCATTGGAGAGATGCAGTGAATCCAAACGGTGCATGTTTCTCTTTATGCTTGCCCTGTAAAATCAGTGTCAGTCACAAGGGACTCATGAAGTCTTTGACTCTTCCTTTTTAAAGGTCAGGGCTCCACTTTTTAATTGGAAAAGCAGAAGGTGAATGAGTCTGACTGTGAACGCTGCTGCCCTTATTACGTGCCTTAGGAGGTTCAAACTCTGGCTAAATATATTAGGGCTTCTTGGGGGTGCCCAGAGGGGAAGGAAAGGGGGGGTGGCATTACAAACCTATGCAGTTTGTTGGAAAATAGGAGGTAGTGGATGAGCCTAAGGGGGGGAAAAAAAAAAAAAAAAAAAAAAAAAAAAAAGAACCCTAGGAAGGCTTGGAGCTGGAGATCTGGACAGTTTTAGGTTTGTTCAGTTTTAATTCTTCAAGGAGCTACAGGCAGAGGGGAAAGAAGACAGACTGAACATGGTTTGATTTTGGAAAACTTCACTATTTTCTCTTTTTCTTGTCTAAGAGCAATAAAAACATCACTGGCAGTATGAAACAGCTTCACTTCTGTTAGAAATTGTCATTGGAGAGATGCAGTGAATCCAAACGGTGCATGTTTCTCTTTTAGTTTTTACCAAAGCTCTCATGCACACACATTTGCCACCTGTTTCATCTCTGTGCATGATGTTCACGCTGGAATTTGGTCCATTGGTTCATTTTGCCAAAGCCAGACTTTAGCAAGCAAAGGTTTACCAGAGCAGAGCACTTGGAGGAGCAAGGATGGAAGGCATAAAAGACACAGATATGGATTCAGTGGAGGATGCTATGCCAAAGTGCTTCTCCAGTTTATGGGTCACATTTTTTTAAAGTGCTATCTTCGGTGTGAGACTGTTTCCTGGTATGTTTATGATAACATGTCTCCAAAGTTATTGTGTGGTATGTTGTTTACTGTATCTGCTGTTCCTTACGTAACATTCTGAATTGAAATATTAAGAAGTATTGGAACCAAGGCTTAGCTCCAGCATTTTTCAGTCACCTTTCTGTCTACATCAGATCATGCTCATCATAACATTTTTCATTAATCTTTTTACCTAGATTCATTGAAGATGCTATTGAATACTTCCCTTATAAAAGAAAACTTGGAGGTCTGTATTTTATAAGAAGCCTGTATAACATTCACTAGTAATATTTTTTGCTTTTACCTCTTTGCTTATCATATATATGTTTGAATGCAACATAACTTGAAGACAAGAATGGCCCCTAATTTCCAGAAACAATTAGGTAGGGTTCTGTTTCTTACTGAAGTCTCTTTTCTTCCAAAGACTGCAGAACTTCATAGTTAGCAATTCTTTCTGTTATTTTAATTTTTTTTTTCATGTTATAGATTTTATTTCTTTCATGAAATTTCTTCTGAAGGATGTAAATTATCACTGATAAAGCAAAAAATCCAAACTGATTGTGTGAAGATAAAAAACCTTGTTATCCCTCCACCCTGGTTTAGATTAACGGTGGACTAATTTTAGGATCCTCTATTTTATTCAGCATTGTAACATTCTGCCTGACCCTTTCTCTAATGCCTTAGTGCTTCAGCTGCACTGAATGACTTCTGCGTGTTAAGGAGATATATCACCATTTTCTCTGATGGTTATTTAAAAGAGATTCTGCTTTTATTGCCTATTCCTATCACAGGAATCATAGCACTCCTTACCTCTTGCTATGTCTATTCCATTTTCATTTAACTCAAGATGTTTCTTATTTCCCATTTTTCAGCTAGCTGTTAAGGTATTTGTTAGCAGTGGTGAGTATCTTGGTTCACCTTCTGATTTCATGAGAGAAGGAAAAATACATCTTCTGCCACAAAGATCTTCCCTGGAAAGAAGGTTGTGTATTTCTGCATTGCCTATAACCTTCTTGCATGCCTCCATTTACTGGTCTCCAACAGGGGAATAATAATGCTCACCCAGGGCTTCATTACATACTGTTGGAAATGTATTCAAGACATTTGGGGGAAACCTGACTTAGAACTCTTCTTCCTCTCCATTTATTTTCTTTTTGCCAGGTACCTAAGTAGCCTCTGTTAGCTAATTTCTTGCTGGCCCTAAAATGGTTTCTCTTGTATTTTTTTCCTGATGAGGTAAGGCACAAGTGTTTGTTCAGCCTTGGTAGACACACCTTTGTTCTTTCAATACGATAGTACTTCATTGTGCAGCTTATCTCTCAGGACTTCTGATACTTATGCTTTTAGCAAAAGTAGGGTAATTAAATTGCCTCATTAAGAGAAGGTCCTATGACCAAGTCCTCCAGCGCCCTCAAGAAAATCTCCCTACCCTGTCCCTGATAGACCTTTCCATCAGATCTTTCCTTTCACCCTATTTGATGAAACGTTACCACTTACTCATTACCCATCAGCATTTTGAGTACTTTACAGGTAGTTCGCTCCAAGTCTGACAACCTGTGGAACACACAGCCTGACCGAGAGTGTCCTGAAGTAAAGGCACACCTTGGATGGCCACAATCCATGTTTCCCTTCCTGATGTCAGGGGTGTTGCTAAACACACTCATGAGTGCATTAGAGAAGCAGAAGACAGTGGAGAGAAAGCAAGAGGATTATCCAGCACAAAGAGGCAGTGCACACCATCCTGAGTCAAGCTGCCTGTCTCTTTTCAATGACACCTCACTCATCCTTGCTCCATCCTTGCTCATCATACTCCAGGCCCACCTACTCTTTTTGTTTCATGCCCATAACACTCGTGGGTTCTGCAAGGCCAAACCTGCTCCTCTTTGCTCTGCAAAGGACCCCACACCCTTATGCACCCTTCTGCCTTAAGGTGAAGGAGGCAAAAGTCTTTAATGTGTCTGCAAATTGTAATGTTAGGACATACTCTGTCACTGTCATGTGGGAACACCCCTCCCTGCGGATGCAAAAGTTGGAAACCAGCGAGCAGCTGCCCAGCCCTCCCCGTGCCCAGTTCCCAGCCCGTGCCCCAGGCCCACACTCACAGCACGCAGAGGCAGTAGACGCCCGGGATGCTCTGGCTGTCCCGCAGGAGGTAACTGCCGTCCCTGCCCGCCGCCAGCAGCAGCTTCTCCCCGGCTTCACGGCTGAAGCCCCCATGGGCCTTCACACCACGCTGCCTCCAGCTGCTCCTCAGCCGTCTGCTCCCCTCAGCATCTCCGTCTCGGGGACAGATGTAAACAGGATGTGTTCACACCTCTGAAGCCTCCGCACGGGGTGAGACAGCACTGAGGGAAGAGTGAGGAACGAGCACAGCTTTTCAGTGTTGTGGCTTTTTTTTCCTTTGCCCCTTTTTGTTTTCCTTTTTTGTAGGCTGCGACGTCCTCGCGGTGCGGCAGCTGCACGCAGAGGTGACATTTCACAGCCCACCCTCGCTCGTGTGGCTTCCCGCTTGGACGGACATGACAAGGTGCGCGACGACCACGGGGCTGATGGTTGGCTTTGGTCAGTGCAGGGAGGCCACCACCATGGCATCAACGC